TCTCGTTCTTTCTGGAAAGTGCATGGGCCCTATAGCAAAAAAAAAAAAAAAAAAAAAAAAACACAACTCTCAAAAAAAAAAAAAAGAATTACTGCGTTTAACTTTATTTATTTATTTATTTAAATCTGACCACAGAGGGACAGAGCAAGAGCAAGAGAGAGGAGAAGTGAGAAAGCAAGCCGCCAGGTCCAGGACTCAAACTGTGGTTGGCCATGTGGGAGTCCAGTGCTCTCAACCACCATGCCGCCTGCTGGCCCCAAATAAAATAATTCTTACTAAAAAAAAAGAGAGAACATGGTGCTAAGTAAGGGGACATTGGAGAGGAAGCATTCCAGGGAAGGGACAGTGTATAAAAAGGCAGGGTCACTCTTTTTAGTCACTTGAGTTGTGTGCTGCACTCTCCACGGGGTACCATTGACATTAACTTTGCCACCTTGATGGTCTCTGCTTTTTCAGTGCTCCAACACTTGTTTTTTGTTTTTGTTTTTTCTTTTTCCATAGCGTGTGTATGCTCTCCAAAGAGAAAGTCAGAAATCACCCCTTAGTGGGGATGGCCACGCCGCAATCCCTTCTCCATTGTCCTCTCAGGATTTGGGGCATGCATGCACACACACCCAGTGTGATTTTCACTCCAACTATGGTCGGCCATGTGGGAGTCCAGTGCCTTAACCACCACGCCACCTGCAGGCCCCCCCTGTTTAACCAATACCTTATATTACATGATTTCTGTTGAAATACCTTATCTGGATGTCAGTTTCTATAACCCTAACGTTTGAATGAGTCACATGGATGGCTGGACAGATGAGTAGGTGGAGAGACAGATTCGTAACTCGTAGATTCATTCAACAAACATTTATTAAGCACCTTCCAGAAAGACGGTTCTGGGCACTTGGGACACCACAGTCAACATTACACACAAGGACTCTGCTCTCATGGAGCTCACATTCTAGTGGCAGGAGACAGATCACAAACAAGTACACAAGGCAATATGGGGATAAATGCTGGGGTGAATGAAAACAGTGACAGGCAGCCTCTGGATCGGGTGCTCATGAAAGGCCTAAGAAGGTAACATCTGGACCTGAATGACAGTAGGCCATGCAAACCCTGGAGGAGGGAGATTTTAGCACAGAACAGCCATCCCCAAGGCCCTGGGGTAGAAATGACCTAACCCTAGTCAAGGAGCCAGTGGGGAAGAACTACCGAGGCCAGCTCACACAGGACCTTGTAGCCCCCTGTAGGGGCTGGGTGGTTTCCTGAGTGCACTGCACATGAGGGTAACACAGGATGTGACCTGTGTTTTCAGAATATGACTCTGGCAGCTGAGAATGGATTAAAGGGGGAGGCACAGGTGCAGGGAGACCTGCTGGGAGGTTACTGCAGTGGTCCAGGTGAGAGAAGGGTGGCCTGGACTGGGGTGCAGAGCTGGGGGTGTGGCAGCGGAGATAGAGAGAAACAAACAGACTCAGGATCGATGAGCAGGTGTTTGGATGGACAGATGGCTGGCTGGGTGAGTGGACTGCTTTTCCCTCTTGCCCTCTTCCAGGCAGGGTCTCTGTCTGGGGCCCAGTTGAACACCCTGGATATTCTCACCAAAATTTACATTGCCCTGATGTCAGGGGAGGGGGAAAAGTGGCTCAAAAAAAAGTGTGGAAGAAGCCAGATTTGGGTCCTAGGATGCTGGACCCCACAGTCTGAGCCCTTCCCAGCATGCCATCTGGCCTCTGAGAGGTCTGGGCCTAGAGGGCTGAGGGGACATCACCTCCTCATCCCGGAAGTCACTGCAGTCCCAGTGGTGGGCCAGCGTGGCGCTCTTGCGCTTCCAGTGCTCCAGGAAAGCCATGGCCCAGAAGGACATGAAGATGCTGAAGAACACAGTTCCTGGGTGGTCAAAGAGGTAGCCCAGCTGCCAGCGAGGGAGAGAGGGCACACTGCAGGGCCTATCCCAGTACTGCCCTGCCCAGCAGGCGGGGCCAGGCTGGGCCCCAAATACCTGCCCGTTTTCTTGCCCTTCTCCCTAGCTCACCTTGGCCATGGGGCAGATCTCGGAAATATTCCATGTGGCACAGGTATTGCAGAGCGGGCACATGAGGAAGGCACCTCCACTGGCACAGATCTCCTCTCTGTGGGCAGAGGGTGCCCTTGCTGAGAGGGCTTCCTCGCTGATCCTGACTCGGCCCACCCAGCCCATCCTCCAACCCTCCTGCAGCCACTCACGCTGGGGTATTGGTGCCCATAGTGACAAGCCCAGAGATAAAGATCAGAGTGCCCACTAGGGCGGCAGGCAGCAGCCAAGCTGTGTAGAAGCCTGAAGAGTGACAGAAACCTCATAAGCCGTCATCTCTGTACTCAAGCCCAGCTCCCAGCCCCCAGCACCAACCAGTCTCACCTAGCCAGGCAAAATAGATGGCCACCTTCTCCCCAAAGTACTCTCGTATGTGGTCCAGGGGCTGGTACTTGTGCCAGCGTCCCCAGCAAGCCCAGTATGAGTACAGCAATTGGCGAGGGTTCAGATCTGCACCAGGCACCTGGTACCCAGGCAGTTCAAAGGGGCCCTGGGGTGTGAAGAAGGGAGGGTGGCAGGGAAGTTGGAGAATTCTCTCCTGGTGCCGCAGCGGTGCCGCAGCTGTGCCGCGTTGTCAGGCCTGGGACAGCTGCGCTCAGGACAGCTCTACCTCATGCAGTGGGAAGGCTGCAGTGAAGACGCCCTCGGCCAGCAGGCGGGCAATGCCCATTTCTGCATGTTTCCGCTTCCCATAGACTGTGCGGGCCAGGATCTCTGCCACCTGCCAGGTAGGAGCCGTGGCATCAGTTCTGTCCCTTTGAGGTCCCATCTGGACTCTCCCCAGTAGCCTTCTCACCACTTGGTGCCTCTGCGTGTTGGAGAAGTAGGAGTCGTGGGAATCACTGCCCAGAAATCTGTGAGCAGAGCAGGGGTCAGAAGCCCAGTCCTCTGCCCAATCGGAAACCTCTATCTCTTAGCTAGGGACACGGAGGTGAGGTGCGCCAGCTGCAAATAGCAGACAGTGTAATTGCCCTCACAGCTCAGCCTGGGCTGGGCGAGTCCCGTGGAGAGATGAGCATCTGAGGCAGACTGAGCAGATGGGAATGTAGGGGGAGGGACTAGGACACGGCCAGGGCTCCCGGTTGCAGAAAGGACAGGGCCAGAGCCCTAAAGTGCCCTAAAGCGCCTGTCAAAGAGCAAGGACTGGGCTGCGGCTGCAGCGGGCATCTCGTCCCTCCTCAGACAGGTCTTGCCCACTGTGAGGCGCCCTGCTCCTCACCTGTCCATTTTGGAGCGGCGGAAGGAGCACGTGTAGAAGTCCAAAGGCTTGTTAGGCACGTGCTGTTGCAGAGGGTTCGGCAGGCGCAGGCGCCGCAGCAGTTCCGCAGAGCCATCCGAGTCGGGGTTGGGCCTGGCCTTGGTCGGTCAGGAGCAGGATCACCGGCTACACTCCGCCCCCAGGGTGACCCTTCCCGCCCCCACCCCTCCTACCTGCAGCGGCGCGCGCAGGCTCAGTTCCTCGGCGTAGAACACCAGCAATTCCCAGGGCGCGCTCAGCTTGGCGAAGTGCACCGAGCGGGCGCCGCGCTCCGTTTGGCTATGCTCCTGGGGGCCGGGATCTCAAGGGAGCCCGGATCCCCGAACCCCTCCCCTTACTATCCCTGTTCAGAGCGCGGGCTCTTGCTGCCTTCAAAAGCGGGTTTCCTGGCGCTCTGACACACGTTTGAAACTCAAACGAGGGGAATTTCAGAGGTGGAGACCGACGCGGAGCGGGCCGGCGTCCTAGAGCGACTGACCTTTCCCTTTGGTTAACCTTTCCCGGTTAACCATCGCAGCCCCTCTGTGGGGCCAACCACTATCAAACCCCTTTTTCAGATGAGGTGCAGAAGTTTTCGCAGGTCACAGAGCTAGTTAAGGGAGTGCGCGTCGGCCTCCGAGACCCGAGCCCGTGCAACCCGCCCCGCCACGCTCACCTCCTCGAGGAGCAGCCCCGCTGCGCGCAGGTTCCGCTGGAACTTAGCCCGCCAGCGCCGCTGCAGGAGTCGCTGCCGGCCGGCCCGCCGCGGGGGTCGCAGCTTCTCCTCCCACACAAGCACGAAGTCTGTCCCATCGCAGGGGCGGGTGTGTGGGGCGCACAGTTAGCAACCGTGTGCCCCACCCTGTCCTACGTCTCTCCTTGGTGGGAGTGGGCTCTAGGTGTATCATTTCCACTAACGCCAGAATTAAAGGAAAGTTGCACCAGAAGGAGGAAAGGTTAGGGTTAGCTGAAGGTGGAACCGCCGACTGCAGGAAGTCAGGGAAGGGTCGGCCGGTTGTGTAGTGGTAAGGCTAGATCCTACCTGGACCCGCAGCTTGAAAGACATGCCAGCGGCCTCTGAGTGAGTGCCCAAAATTCAGAGGAGAATGAAGGCGCAGGGATTGCAGAGACGTCATACCCCGGAGGGTCCTTTCTCACTCTCCCTCTCTCCCCACCCAACCCAGCACACACTCTTTATAGCAAGTTTTAAAATAATAATAATGATAATAATGGGGGGGGGTTAAAAAGAGAGAGAGAGAAAAAAATACTAGTATTCTTTGAGGAAGAAAGATGATTTAAAGGAACGTCTCTCCTTGGTGGGAGTGGGCTCTAGGTGTATCATTTCCACTAACGCCAGAATTAAAGGAAAGTTGCACCAGAAGGAGGAAAGGTTAGGGTTAGCTGAAGGTGGAACCGCCGACTGCAGGAAGTCAGGGAAGGGTCGGCCGGTTGTGTAGTGGTAAGGCTAGATCCTACCTGGACCCGCAGCTTGAAAGACATGCCAGCGGCCTCTGAGTGAGTGCCCAAAATTCAGAGGAGAATGAAGGCGCAGGGATTGCAGAGACGTCATACCCCGGAGGGTCCTTTCTCACTCTCCCTCTCTCCCCACCCAACCCAGCACACACTCTTTATAGCAAGTTTTAAAATAATAATAATGATAATAATGGGGGGGGGTTAAAAAGAGAGAGAGAGAAAAAATACTAGTATTCTTTGAGGAAGAAAGATGATTTAAAGGAGGGACCAGGATTTAGCTACTCTGGTCAAGGAGGTGACTTGGGGATGAGTCGAGACTGGCCCAAGTCTCACCGATTTTGGTTTTCCCATCTCGGAAAAAGTTGCCTCTGGAGTCCTGGGCGTTAATGCGGCTGCGGGAGGCACATGTGCGGTCGTTGTCTGGGTCCTTGTCCCTGGTGCCATCGCCGTACTAGATGCGATAGGCACCGGGGTGAGGGTGCCAGGAGCTTCTCAACCGCCCAGCTGGGCTGGCCCTCCCTCCGCCCACCAGCCCGCCCAGCAATGGCTAAATATAAAGTGTAACAATGGAGGCGCTCTCGGTGCTATCCTGGTGCTCCTTCCTCTCCATTACTCTCAGCTCAAGAACCACCCACTGCCATATTAGGAGGACGATGATAATAGCCAGCATTTATTGGGCCCTTGAAGGCTGCACCAGGTGCTAAACATTTAAGCGCACTTACACCTCAGGACTCTTAAGAAATGGGAGCTACTGTTACCTCCACTTCACAGATGTGGCAACCGCCCATGAGATGCACAGTGAGCAACCTAAGGTCACTCAGTTTTCTTTGCTGTCCTCCCCACGACCCCCTAAGCCTCAGTCCCTTCCCTTCCTCCTAGGATCCACACCTTCCTTTTAGAATAGAGTCCAAACCAGCTCCTTCCTGCCCTCTTCCCCATGGTCTAGTCTCTGGGTCTGAGGTCCCAGAGAAGGCTGGGACTCCATCCTAACCTACCCCCATCAGTCCTTCAGAATTTGCCTCCACATTGTCCTGGACTCTGAGTTTTTACCCATCCCCAAATTCTGGGCACAGATCTCACCCCCAGTTCTGGGCCTGGCATGTGGGGGTCCTGGCTGGCACCAGGCTGCCCAGGAAGTAAGGAGCGCTAGGTCATGACCAGCAAGCCCCTTCCCACCCTGTACTCACCCAAGGTCCCTGGGGCCGGCTCAACAGCCTCTGCAGTTCTGTCTCCTGCATCCCCTTCCTCATTCTGGAGCCAGACCTTGCCAGGGTCCTCCTTATTGCCCAAAAGGCTGGAGCTCCTGCTGGCAGCAGGCAGGGTACCAGCCAAGTGTGGCCCTGGGCTGGGGGGGAGGGGCATGAGAGGCCAGCGCCGTATTTCTCCTCCTAGGGGCTGCTGTGAGTGTGGGGGAGGAAAAGCAGAGAACCACGTGGGAGCCTGTGAGGGGCGGACTCAGAAGGGAGGGGAGGAGAGGGCTCAGAGCACCAGGGCTGCTTCCTGGCACCATGACTTTTGGCAAAAGCCTATCCATAGGGAAGGGACTTGGGACTCCCTGAGAGCCAGTCCCCGTGTGCGGAAGGATGAGGAGACTGGGACAAACACCACCAGGGCAGGGCTTGCTCCTACTCTTGGGGAAGACAGCAAATCCAAGTCCAGAGTTTCAGGGCCCTGGGTCCACCCCCTGGGGCATACCCGCCAGCCCTTTCTTCCAGGAGTGTCAGGACCCAAGCAGCAGGCTAGCGAGTCTGCGGTGTTTGCTTGCTTCTGAGTCGGTTAGGTTTAGCCTAATGGTGGGACTTCTGGCACCAACATGAGGAAGTGGCTTCCTGGTGACCTGTTCACACTCCAGAGAGGCAGTCTCTGCCTCCAAGGCCCTAAGAAAATAACCTTTACCTCCAGCCAGATTCCCTCCCTGGACAACGTAATCTGTGGGGAATCCGTGCAAAATGAAATTGTGGACCCTTGTTCCCAAAGTACTAAGAAGTCCGAGACTGCCAACAGCAAAGCTTTAAGCCAGGCAAAGGCCCCTCTGACTGCCGGGCACTGTGACAGCACAGGTCACAGCCCATGAAGTCTCTTTTCACCCTCTGTCCACAGGGCCTGCCCAGAGACAACCTGTCCGGGAAGCACACGCCTCAGCTTCTAGAAGAATTAAGGCTCTGCAGCAAGCTCCTCCCTCTCACTTCTGCACTTTGAGGGAGGCCTCCAGTGCTGGGGGCGGCCTACTGAATACCACTGTGGCAGTGGGGCTGGCGTGGAGGAGCTGAGGAAGCAGACCTGGCTCGGCTAGAACCAGGCTCTCTGAGCTGCAGCCCCATGGCTGTCTCCTCTTTGTTCTTGCCCAGGGACTCAGGAGGGAACTGTTCACCTCCGGTTCAGAAGCAGTTGGGTGAAGGATCAGCTTTCTCATCAGGGTGGTGCTAACCAGGAGAAAGCCAGGGGAAGGATCTGGGCTATTCCTCCAGAGAGCCTTCCAGTTCGTGGCTGACTCAGTGCCCCAGAGGGATGGGAAGCCGCCTTTCCCGGGAAGTGGATGCCGGTAACTGGCTGGGATGACACGGTGCTGAGTATCTGCACTGGAGGGTCACGGCCAGGCCCAGGGCTGCCTTCACCTGGTCATTCTCCCACACTTTGCTGCTGCCCAGGTAAGGGAGGTCCACTGGAGTCAGGACAGATGGGGAAAGTCTGGCAGGGGGCTGAGGGCTCCAGCGGGGAAGCCCACAGTCCATGAGTGTGAATGGCCTCATGGGGCTCTGGGACTCCCCAGGGATATTCCTTTTTGGGGTAGGTCTAGCTCTGAGCCTGAGCTGGGGGTAAAAAGGTGCTGAAATCAGTCCTTTCTCTGGCCCAGGCCCTGGAAGTGCCAGGGTGGACAGACTGGCAGTGGGCACAGATATGCACGCAGTGTTCTCAAGTATGCGTGTCAGAGGTGTACTTATGAGAAGGGTGCGTGTGCACCCGTGAGAACAGTGCACACAGGCCTCCCTTGTGAGCCAGGAGTACCCATGTGGTGTGTGTGAGCATGTGATCATGCCGGGTGCGTGTGAGCTATGCAGACCTGCCAGGGCTGCTTTCTCAAGAGGGGGCTTCAGGGGACAACTGGTTTGGGGATTGCTATACTTGGGGACTCTAGGGCCCTCCTGGTTGGGTCGGACTCAGGCCAGACCTTAGTCCAGGGGTCCATCTCTGGGGTTGGGCAAGGTATCAAGGGTGAGAGAATAAAGGCCCCTCCCACAGCCCCTTCCCCTCACCCCTACCTCAGCCTGCTCATGCAGGTCTAGCTCCTGTCCTTGCTGGCTGCCACAGGGTAGAGCTACCTGTCAGGCCAACTCACCCTTAAACTCACCTGGCATGGTCCTTGGCCCTGTCCAGGGCTGCTTTCTGATTTCCTGTCCTAAGGGCAGACTGACAGATTCCTGATCACAAAAGGCACTGCAGAGTGAACTGCTCACCCGCTGGACACAAGGGTAGACAGCTCTTCCCAGCCTTCCCTGCAGCTTCGTGTGACCAGGTGGCTGGTGCTGGCCAATGGAATGTGGGCCCACCACCCTAGGCCTGGTCCATAGAATCTTCCTGGGTGGGGCTGGCAGGTGTCATGGTGGTTAAGGCTGCTGGACCACATGGCCAACCATGGTTCAAGTCCCGGACCTAGAGGCTTTCTCACTTTCCCTCTTTCTCTCTCTCTGAAAATATTAGAATAATAATAATAAATAAAGTTAAATAAAATAATTCTTTATCTTTTTTTTTTTTCCTTTGGAGAGGTTTTTGCTATAGGGCGCGTGCGCTCGCCAGACAGAGAGAGAGAGAGACAGACAGACAGAAAGCAAGAAATCACCCCCCGGGGGGAATGGCCATGCTGCAATCTTTTCTCTTCCTTTCTCCTCTCAGGATCTTGGGCATGCACGCACACATGCCCGGCATGAGTATAAGACACTGGGTCAACCACGGTTGACTACATGGGAGTCCAGCTACATAGCCATTACGCCAACTCCTGGTTCCAAAATAATTCTTAAACAAACAAACAAACAAACAAACAACTCTACTGTAAAAAAAAAGAAAAGAAACCTCCTAGATGACTCTCCCTGACATTCATTCCATCCGCTGACTGGATGTTGATACCCCAGGGCTAGATCGTAGGGCATGGGTCTCTGAATGAGTGCATGGAGCCCAGCTGCCATACCCACCTTCGCCCCTCCTGAGTGAGCTCTAAGCAAGAAAACACACTTTCACAGCCTTAACCGCTGAGATTTCCAGGTTTATGTGTTACAACAGATGGTGCTTCCTCAACTGATAGAGGTGCTTGATTGAAGTCACTTGAGGTCCAGGGCCCTGCTGAGGCACCCAGTCACCCTCCCTTGGTGTCACCAGAGTGGGGAGGGCAATGAGAAGGGAGAGGAGATGTCTGAACTCCGGGTCCCTTCCCCAGAGCCCAGTGCCCACTCCCGACCCTCACTGCCATGAACGCTGCCAAGAAAGGGTTGCTCCAGCAGGAGCCTTCTCGGGTCATGTCCTCCCTGACCAGACATCACTGGCTAGCCTTCGAGGTGGGATCAGTATTTCTGCTAGGCCCAGCCTCTGGCACAGGTGGCAACATACCGAACTGCCGTGCTGGAAGCCACATGGCCGACCATGGTTTGGGTTCCTCACTGACCTGAAACACACCAGGCAGGTGTGCCCAAAATCCTGATAACTAGCGGGCTGGAGGAAGGAGATTATGGAGGTGAGGGTGACTGTCTTGTTCTCTGTCTTTCTCATGTGTGTGGCTGTATATCGACTATCATGAATAAAATAGATACACTTAAAAAAAAAAAGTCTGTCTCAGCCTTAGGCCCTAGGTCCTGCCTTCCAACCTGGGTTACCTAAGGGAGGTAGTGGAGATTACAGATGCCCATTTGGGATGCCACCAGCCCTCAGCCAGGGGTGTTCTCTGGGGGTGGGGGCTTGGGAAGCAGACCAGCTGCCACCTGGTCCTGGTGCCACAGCTGCTCAGCAAGGCCATTGAGCACGTGGGCGATATCAGCCAGCCCAGCCCTCCCATCCAGCGTGTGGCCATCAGCCAGCCGCCGCCCTGGTACACTCTTCACCCGCAGGAGGGGCAGCTCCCAGGCCTGCCGGAAGGCTGTGAGGTCACGCTCGGGCACATCCGTGTGCATGTACTGGTCAAATCTAGAGGTGGGTCAAGGAGCCTGGTGGGACTTCAGCTCACCCCCCATCAGACCCAGCTTCCCCTCTTCCCTGGAGCCCCACGCCCAGTGTCTAGGGCAGGCCCCGCTGTACCCTTTAACAAAAAGCTCACAGCTGAACCTCTCAGAGGGGCAGAGGCAGGGTCCTAACCCTCTTGCCTTGTCAAAGGTGGCCTCTGAAAGTCCCACGAGCCACCCTAAGGATACTTGGAGCCGATGACCATCCTGACGACACCAGGGGCTTCACCTGCCACAAGGGCCAGCTGTGCAGGGAGGTCTTCAAAGGAGGCACGGTCGGTGAAGGAGAAGAGGAAGAGGAAGGCGTCTGTTTTCTCCTGGCAAGCCTGGAGGTGGAGAGGCACACAAGCACACAAACACTGGGCTAGACCCTCCTATCGCTACAGGGCCCTGGGAAGTATCAGTAACAATCTCTCCTTTCACAGACTGGGAAACTGAGACCCAGAGCAGGGAGCGGCTGGTCCTAGGGCAGATTCGGGCTGGGCTGAGACCCAGTCCTCAGTGCTAGCTCAGAGTTCTACTGCCCAGGGCCGTGCCCTCAGGTCATTCATGCCCGACCGGCAGACAAGTCAGGCCTGGCTCAGACATCTGTACTCAGAAGCACCCCTCAGATTACCAGCCCCTTCTGGAGCCCACTCAGGCCCACCTGCCTGCTCACCGGCAGCATGTGATCAAACTTCTTGAGTGCAGACTCCCCACAGTCCCAGAACTCAAAGCGGAACATGACGACACGGTCGCTGGCCTGCAGCTTGGCTGGCCAAAATACAACGGTGGTCTGGATGCCTGAGGAGGGTCGGAGTTAGCAATTTAGCTTGGGAGAGGCAGAGGTAGAGAGGGGTGGGAGGCCAGGAAGGAACAGGACTGGTGGAGCCCTTGTCTGATTGGCAAAGCACAGTCCCTGACCTGGGAGGGTGAGATCCGGGGGAAACAGGGACCTGCCCTGGAGGAGCCTCAGTCAGGAAGATGCAGCCCTAGCCATGACAAAGCAGCATAATTCATGGGTACAGGGAGACCCCAAGGTCCTGGGGCACTGCAGGATGCTACACTGTGATGGGCCAATCAGCATTCAGTGAAAGAAACAGAAGACTAGTGTCTCCTGAGCACCTGCCTTGTGCCAGCCTGGTGTTGGGCATGTCACCACCACTGCTGGGACAGAGGAGCCAATGCAGGCTCAGTGAAGCGATGTGACTTCCCAAGGGCACAGAGTGAGGGGCAGAGTGAGCCAGGTTCTTTCCTTCACCCTAGGGAAGGATGGGCAAAGGGTTGGGGCCCACTCACCTGTAGTTTCGTGGTGCACCACGGGCACCTCCAGGCCAGCCAGCTTGGCCACCAGCGCTGTCTTGCCCACACCACTCTTCCCAGACACGAAGATCTTGTAGCTGGCAGTGTCGATGGCCACAGGAGGGGGCAGCACTGGCCGCTCAAGCAGCCCTGGTCAAGGAGGGAGCCAGGTGAGGGCAGGGGGGTCAATCCTGCACTCGTCCCTTCAACCTTGTGTCGGACAGTCTCATCTTAAGGACTTCCTCAGGACTAACCATGGTTCTCAGTACTCACCCCAGCTTGACAGAGGCCTGGGACACAAAGAGGCTGGCCTAAGTGCCTCTTTCTAATAGCCAGAGGGCACCGGCGCTGGCCAGAGAGAGAGACAGACAGAGGGATAAAGCGCCCCCTAGTGGGGCATGGTTACACTGCAATCCCTGCTCCTCCATTTCTCTATGTGGCTAGGATTTTGCTACACTGCAATCCCTGCTCCTCCATTTCTCCATGTGGCTAGGATTTTGTGCACACGTGCACACACACGTGCACACACACACCCAGCATGTCTTTCAAGTTGCTGGGCCTGAAATTTTAACTATGTTTGGCCACATGGGATTTGGCTGCCTTATCCACCAGGCCACGGAGCCAGCCCTATGCAATTGGGTCATTGGAAAAGTCATGACATGTTTTTGCATAGAAAAATATCCGATAATTTCTAAGAAAAAAAAATCAGATTGTTCACACACTTAGTCCTCAGCCATCATTAGTATTAAATAGCTCGAGCCCAACCCTCACATGTATGAGATATCAATGTGAAGTTCCTAAGATTATATGAAAGATCCTATCACACGCAATGTCTTGTGTGAAAACTCTAAGAGTTTGGATCTCAAATCTCAGAGAACCGTAGCTCTGAAACCTGTTAGTCCCTTGTTACTCACAGTGTGTCTCATGGACTGGCAGCACCAGCGTCCCCTAGGAGCTGGGGCTGGTTTGGAAACAGACCCAGTGGGCCAGGTTGGCATGGTGCTTGAAGCAAGTGGGTCCCACGTGGCCAACTGTGCAGTTTGAGTCCCAGACCCAGCGGCTGGAAAAATGGGTGGGCACATGTGTGCGCAAGTCCAAAATCGCAAAAGGAGGAACAGAGGGAGGAAAGGGGTTGCGGTGTGACCGTGCCCTGTAGGCAGTGCTTTCTCCTTCAGTGGCTCTCTCCAGCAAGTGGCACGCCCTCTGGCATAAAAGAAAAAAATAAAATAAAACAGACTCAGCTCTCTTAGACCAACTGGATCAGAATCTACATTTCTTTGTTAGTTGGTTTGTTTACTTGATTTTTTTTTTTAGATTTTTTTTTGCTATAGGGCACATGTGTTCACCAGAAAGACAGAGAGAGACAGAAAGCGAGAAATCATCCCCCGGGGGGACGGCCATGCCGCAATCCCTTCCCCTCCATTCTCCTCTAGGGATCTTGGGCACACACACATATGCGCCCAGCGTGAGTTTAAGCCACTGGGTCTGGGACTAGAACTGCGGTCGACTACATGGGAACCCAGCGACATAGCCATTACGCCAATTGCTGGTCCCATTTGCTTGATTTTTAAAAAAGAATTATTTAATTTTTATTTACTGTCATTATTATTTTTAATTTTCTACAGGGCACATGAGCTCAGCAGAGAGAAACAGAGAGACAGAGACAAAGGTAAAGTGAGAAAGCAAGCCTCCAGGTTCGGGATTTGAACCACAGTCCAAAACTTAACTACCACAGCACAGGCTGGCCCCATGTTAGCTTGATTTTTAGTTATCAGAGGGCCCATGCACTCACTAGAGAGAGACAGAAAGAGGGAGGAAGAAAGCACTCCCAAATAGGGCACGGTCAAGCCACAATCCCTTCTTCTTCACTTCTCCGCTCTGTCAAGATTCGAGGCACACATACACACATGCGCTGTTTTTCAAGTCACTGGGTCTGGGACTCAAACTGTACTGTTGGTCATTTAAGATCTGGCTCTCTCTCTTTTTTAAAGAATTACTATTTAACTATCTATTTTTTTAGAGGTTTTTGCTATAGGGCGCGTGCGCTCGCCAGACAGACAGAGAGAGACAGAGAGACAGAAAGCGTGAAATCACCCCCCAGGGGGGATGGCCACGCCGCAATCCCTTCTCCTCCATTCTCCTCTTGGGATCTTGGGCACGCACACACGCACCCGGCGTGAGTTTTAA